CTCCAAACGGATGAAAAGAAGGCTGCATTTCTCGGCCGCATTTGAAGGAGCCTTCGAAATGGGACAGCCTAGTTACATCGACTGTGACGTATTCGGTCTTCAAATGCAGCCTTCGAAGGATACGGTCCCTGAATTGAGACACAGCTAGTGTTTAAAACAGCACTACTGCTGTTTGATGCCGTTGCTAGGTAACCACAGTCCAGTGTTAGCTTGTTAGCTATTAGTTGAGTGTTTCAATTGGGACTTGTTTTATAGTAATAAATGCAAAAACCTACTGATTTCAGTGTCCAGTAGTTTGCTGTAACTTGCTTCAGTCCCTCTATCCTCTTCTTGTTTGTTTTTGTTCTCTCCTTGTTTGTTTCTCTTCAGTTTGATGCTCTGTTTCTGAGCTCCTTCTTCAAACTGTATCTGTTTTCCCTCTTTCTCTTTCTATCTATCTATCTATCACTCATATTTGTTCATGTCAACTGTGCGGGAGGTTCATTTTTATATAACTTTAAATTATTATTCAGAGTCCTGTACAGACCTGTTGGTCACACCATTAACAGCTTCTGATGAGCAAGTTGGGTGTGGATCCATTTGATTGGGTCACGGATTGCACTTGCTGGTTGGTACATTAAATCAGTTAGGCCTACTGGAACCAGGTTCCAGTTTGGGTTCAGGAGGCAGACACCATATCCACATTTAAGAGTAGGCTTAAGACTTTCCTCTTTGATAAAGCTTATAGTTAGGGCTGGCTCAGGTGACTCCTGAACCATCACTTAGTTATGCTGCTATAGGCCTAGACTGCCGGGGGACTTCCCATGATGCACTGAGCTCATCTCTCCTCTACTTTCTCTCCCTCTGTATGCAACCTCATCCCATTATTGCATGTTATTAACACAACTTCTCCCCTTTCTGGTAGTCTTGTGCTTTCTCGTCCCTCTCCTCTCTCCTCCTATCACTTCCTGCAGGTGTTTCTGGCTCTGGAGCTGTGGAGTCTGGATCTGTGGTTGTGAGTCACCTGCTCCCCCCGTGTTCCTGCTCGACACCCTCTGCTACAATTATTGTTACTAGTCCTATCGTTGTTATTGTAATAATAATCATTAACATTATGATTATTATCATTAACACTACTGTAAATATCTGTACAATTAGTCATTCAGTCCATAGCAACATCACCTTTACTGTCTGTACCTCTGTGTGTTAATTGTGTAAGCTGCCTCCCTCCCCTCTCTCTCTCTCTCTCTCTCTCTCTCTCTCTCTCACACCCCCAACCGGTCGAGGCAGATGGCCGCCCACCCTGAGCCATGGTTTTGCTCGAGGTTGCTGCCACAGGAAATTTTTCCTTGCCTCTGTCGCCTAGTGCTGCTCTTGGTGGGAATTGTTGGGTTTCTGTAAATAACATCACAGAGTACGGTCTAGACCTGCTCTTTTATGAAAAGCGCTCTGAGATAACTGTTGTTGTGATTTGGCGCTATATAAATAAAATTGAATAGAATTAAATTAAATCAAGGATAGGCAGTTTATTTCAGAAGCATGTTTTGTTCTATTTGTTGAAGTTCTCTTTATATTCTGTCTGAATGTTGATCTTATACCATAATGACAGAATCCATCCATCTATCCATCATCAACCGCTTATCCTGCTGGAGCCAATCCCAGCTGACATCGGGCGAAAGGTGGGGTACACCCTGGACAGGTCGCCAGTCCATTGCAGGGCCACACAGAGACAAACAGCCACTCATATCCACACCTAAGGACAATTTTGGAGTCACCAATTAACCTACCCTGCATGTCTTTGGACGGTGGGAGGAAGCCGGAGCACCCGGAGAGAACATAATGACAGAATCCTTCATTATATTGCATTGTTTCGAGTACTTTATTGTCAACAAACAACAATTACAGTATTACAGTGAAGCAGTTGTTGGAAAGTACATTGTTAGTTCTCAGGGTCCCTCCAACAATGCTCATACAGATATGTAGAAAAGAAAATCATTGAAGTAAAAATGAGAAGGAAAGTAAAAAGTAAAAGTTTGTGCAGTAATGCATGTGTAATAAGATCCAGTTGTACAGGTAATCCACAAATATATATATATATATACTGTGGTAGTAAAACAGCTTGTAAACATGTAGTAATATTCACAGCTGTAAACAGGTAAGTAAAATAGTTCAGTAGTCTTATGGCCTGTGGGAGGAAGCTGTCTCTGAGCAGGTGCAGTACTGTCTGCCAGTGTAGAGGGTGGACATGTTCACAAACTGCTAGGCTTGTTGTGAACTAACCACTCGGGCACTCAGCCTGAAACAGTAAGCAGTTAGAAAATGCATCAAAGTACAATACTTAGATGAAAAATACTAAAAAAAAGTTTGAAAAATACTCAAAACAGTAGAAGTACACTGAAACACTACTTGTTCCAGATACAAGAGTAAATGTAATTACCCAATACACTTCTTTTTGCCTTTATGGGAGGCGTACAGTACATCAGCACCCCTTCCAAGTTATCCTCACAAAAAATACACACAGAGAGCACCTAGCATTCACCAAAGTCTTGATCCTGTGTTGCCTGCAGCCTTCCAATTTGGCTGCACCTCAGTTTCAACATTTAATAATTTGTTTCTGGATAGAAAATGGCAAATGCTCTGAGTTATCTTTCAGCCTTCAAAAGTAACAAAGCAATTACTAAACTAACTGGCTCAACAAACCGAACAACAACAGATCAGGGAAGAGGTGTGATTTCTAAAAATCCTGTAAGAATAAAGAAAGAAAGGAGAATGGGGACTCTTAACCCTACATTGGAACACTTCACCACTTCACCACAGCGCTAGCTGTACATCACCCTAGATTGCACAAACAATAGACCAAGACAGAAGATAACGTAAGAACCTAAGAATAGATCAATTTACTAATACTAATGGCTAACATTCACTAGATCATAGTCAACTAACACCACAAAGACAGTTTACCACCACTACAAGAACAGCACACAATTAGATTATGGGCGGGTTCCCAACTTAAGGTCCGGTACCAGAGTAGAACCAATGCCTTTGCTGGCAAATGCAAAAGCGTCCAGAAATTGTAAACAAAAGTCATGTGGTAGGGGAGAGCGGGGTAAGTTGTCTGGTGTGTAAGTTGTCACACTGCTCATAACTCCAACACTAGAGGCTCTATGTCAAAAATCAAATAGCCATTTTGTGTGACTTCTTTTTCTATGTTCAACTTCCTGTTCACATGTGGTCATGGTCACTCTATTCTGAGGTGAGCACAATTTTATAATTTTTTTGCTTCAAAAGTAAAACATTTGCACAACCTTATTAGGTATGAATGTTCAAAATGATAACTTTGCACAAAGTAGAGGACACAATAAAGTGTCTTTTGATATTTCAGCTGAAGTGTTATATTAAGCTAACCTTGAGATTTAGCCAACATTAGCACACATGTCAGTTTGGGGCAAGTTGTCTCAATGACTTTGGGGCAAGTCGTCACATGTGATTACTTGCTCCAGTACAAATAAACACATAGAACATGCTCAAAAAATTGTTGTGAAATTGTGTAATTACCTCTGACACTAGTATTAAATGATACTGTAAATAGAATATTATACTCTTTAGTTTACAGCAGCAGCCATACACCTGGACAAGACTGAATTCATGACAGAGTATATACGGTCTTATACCATAGGCATGTAGTGTGTTCGTAGATACAAACACACACACACACACTACATGATCCAGTTATTCATTTAGTTAGGCAACAAGGGTAATAGACAAATAAGCTTGTAATTGCAAGGAGGAATGTGTTTTTGAAGGAAGGAAGGAAAACAGAAGACAGAGAATGACAGTACACCACCTGACATAATGTTAAAGGCAGGTGAAGTTGAAGAATAAATCAATCAGAAGTACAGCTAAGGATTTTGACGTAAGCCGCTGACATCTCTTTTGGCCTCGTCTATGTGGAGCCATTTTCCTACAGTATTCCAAAGGAGATGTGGATTAAGTGTGTAAAATGCAACAAATGGGCCTGCGATGCTCGCACCTCAGGCCAGGCAATTTATGTGTGCCAGAACTGTGACTCTAAACACGTCTGATTAGTCAGACAGTAGTAGGTCGTACAAAAATACACATTGTTGCATTAGTGTGTTTAAACACCACATCTGTTAAGAAGTTATACATTTAAGCGAGTTATCTGCAGCATTACATTCAGTTACCATAGATCTATTTGCACTCCAGAGAACATTTGATTTTAAAGTTCAAAGAAAGAGGTTGTCCCACTTAATGTCTGCAACATTTTTATTTTGAATGAAATTATTTATTTTCCAAATTCTCTAGGCTTGATTGTTGATTGATTTTACTTTTAGTTCTGGTTACAATTTGAAATTGAAATCAATATTCACAATGAAGAGTTCTAACTGTTTGATAATCCAGTGTGACAACTTACCCTATGCAGTGTGACAACTTACCTGCCGATTCGGCAAATTGTCACAAGTGCACACTCTCAATTCAACAGTCTACAACTCCATAATGAGATTAGATCTGAAGATGTAATGAATACAAAACTTCTCCCCAAGACTTAATTTTTTCATTTGGTATGACATTTGTACCATTGTGATATGCGGTGCTCAGTAAATATTAGATGGTGTGAAAGTGTGACAACATACCCCGCTCTCCCCTACTGGTGATACAGTCAGCAGGTGAAAAGACAACATACAAATTATTAAATTATTTAATAATACAGACATTTGGAGGAAGACGCTCTGCATCAGACGGTCATATCACAGATACCATGACATATTTGAAAACAAAGCGGACCAGCAAAGTTAGCAGGCCACAAGTGCAAACATCCAAAATCATAAAGCTGTGTTTGCTACAGTCCCCAGGAAATCTGATCCTGTCCTCAGTCTCCACTCTTCCAGGAATCCCTCAGCACGCTCTGGACTGCGCTGGAACTTGATTTCAGAGATTTTCTTCAACTTGAACAGTTAGTTCTGTGTGGATTTCACTGGGCCTTCGGAGCAGCAGTCAACCTCGCTGTCACCACAGTCCGCACGCGCCACTGGCTGCGCGCAGTGACAATCAGGGAGACTACCATTACGTCATTGCGGTGCGGTAGACGATTGGTTGGCAGCCCTGCATAATCTCGCCACTGAGAAGCTAAAGGCTTGTTCACCATGTTGGATCAACTGCCCATCTTAGTTGCCCTGTGACCAGTAGTTGGACCATGACAGTGGCGACGGCGCTGTAGAGCTTCCACCGAGCGGCGTCCTCTCCCCCAGCCCCGACACCGAGGGAACGGAAGGACTACTGTTTGGGTTTGGGGACACCGATCAGCTAACTCCACACTGTCATTGTGAAGAACGTTACTGGCGTGTTCTTTGCAGCTGATCCCGCATTAATAGGACTGAACTTTTCTCCGCATTGTTTTTTTCGTTACCCTGGATGTGTGCATGTGAGCCACATCGGCTAAACCCAGACTGTCCATGGGGGAAACAAGTTTCCCGCGAGCCGTCTGCCAGGATTCCTCTGTTGATCCTTTGAGTCATGCTCGAAGCTTCGTCACTCGGTCACAGTGATGGAGATTTATTTCGTTGGAGCGGTGTAATAATATGTGAATGGAGTGGATGGCGGAGGCCTGGGCCTGCGTGCGCTGTTGTATTGTGGCCTGGGCTGGGATCCACCTCCTCTGCACCGGATCAGCAGCGGTAAATAGGGCTCAGAGATTAGCCGTGTTTACAGAGTAGCTGTCTGGCCTGTGCACACACCTGAACAAGAATAGATGCGATTTCTAGGCCGCGTGGAGCTCCTGCCGCGGGATCCGAGCGTGTGGCAGACCTGGACACTTTCAAAAGATGCACGCGCTGCTTCTATGTGACGGGCTTTAGGTCTCACTGAGCTATCTGGACAGGGAAGCTGAATTTCATCAGGGGGGAGGAGGGGGGCGCCACCTCTATCATGAGGGACATTTAGGGCCACCTTTTTATTTCTAGAGCGGCTGCTCATTGCTGTACATGCTCATGATATGGTTTGTTATTAGCCTCAGGCTACATAGCCTAAGCAGGAAAATTTATTTATAGGAAGTGGGTCAGATCCTTGTTGCCATTATGGTAAGGAGGCACATCAAAATGGTAGTTCTCCCCACAGATTCAAAGTAGGCTTTGCTGCTGTTGGATCATTGAAACCCCAAATCTGTTTTCTCAATGTTTCCTGTCAGTTTTATTTGTGGTGTAGCAGCCTGGTAGCCATTCTCATCACCTTTAGAGGCATTCACTATCATTTAATGGCTCTTTGCGGCACAGCGGCTACAAATGTTACAAAAATGATGGCTGCTTACAACGGTGTCTCCTCAGCAGTGGCTGCCCATCACCCCCACCACCACCACCAGCTCCAGCACCTTCCGCCCCCCCACATGCTCCACCACCACTTACAGCACCCTGGCTCTGCCGCCGCCGTGCACACGGTTCAGCAACACACCTCCTCTGCTGCCGCTGCAGCAGTCATGCTCAACCCAGGCCAGCAGCAGCCCTACTTTCCCTCTCCAGCTCCCGGACAAGCCCCCGGGCCGGCGGCAGCCGTGGCTCCCGCACAGGTTCAAGCCGCCTCTACTGTCAAAGCTCACCACCACCACCACAATCAACAGCAACACACCCACCACCTGCAACAGCAGCTGGATATAGAGCCTGACAGGCCCATCGGCTATGGAGCCTTTGGGGTTGTCTGGTAAGTGCACCACTGCATTTTCTTCACAGAGCATTTTGCCTACTCTCCAGGCAGCCACTGGTTTCCATGAATTCCAGTAGAATATGAGAATCAACTTGTAAAGCCTTGAAACCTGAGCTAATTCTTCATATTAAACATCATTTTAGCATTGGTTTTGCCAGGTAAATTATTTTTGTGATAATCCTGTGTAAACATTTCAAATATCTGCACTTAGAACTGATACATTAGAACATCAGAACAGCAAAATAAGGTGTCCTGGACGATTACTTGGTGATAAGGACACTGGCATTGGCCTTGGTAAAACACAATTGTGTTTTCAGCAGCACCTAACCTATTCAGGTTTCACTGAAATGTGCCAATATTGATTTGAAGTTTACCTCCAAAAAGTTGCACTTTATCGAGTGTATGTGAGTAGTTGTGTCTCACACACATGTAGAAAAACGGTCTATAGAAGTGTTTTTAGGATTCAAACCTTTTATGTACAGTTGGGGCGGCTGTGGCTCAGGAAGTAGAGCGGGTTGGCCGTTAATCGGAAGGTCGGCGGTTCAATCCCTGGCTCCCCCTAGTTGCGTGTCGAAGTGTCCTTGGGCAAGATACTGAACCCCGAATTGCCCCTGACGGCTATTCCGCCAGTGTATGAATGAGTGTGAATGTTAGTTTCCGTTTGAGCACTTAGGCTCAGTGTATGAATGTGTGTGACTGGTGAATGCAGATGTAGTGTAAAAGCGCTTTGAGTGGTCGAAAAGACTAGAAAGGCGCTATACAAGTACGGAGCATTTACATTTACATTTACATGATATCTGAGGAGTTACAGTACATGCCATTTCTAAGTGTCTACCACAATAACCTGTGAGCATTAAGGTATCATGTGGGTGAATATAGCTGCGAGGAGCAGTAATGTTGCCAGCGACATTTTGCAGAGAGTAGCAAAAGAATAAGGAGGCATAAAGCAAGAGTACATAAACAATGTTGGATACAAAGGAGAAAGAAGGTCAGGGTTAAAGATGCTGTGGAGCCTTCGGTTTACTTTTTGTCACAATAAATGGAGCTTTAAGGCCTAACAGACATGTTGAAAGTGTCCCCATAGACTACAATAATAAAGAGACGTCTTTAAAATGCAAACAAGGCACATGATTACTACTTGTATAGTATATTTTCAAACTAGAGGCTACATAAGCTTTTTCTGTGTGTGATGTTCTCTCACACAGAAGTTATCTGTGCTGTGGGTCAGCTGGTTGAGCACCGAGCAGCCTGTGCTCCACTGAAGAGCTGAAAAACATCAAAGTGTTTTAGAAAGTGGGTTTAGTTAGAAGTTGAGTTAGTTAAGCGTGAGATGAGACCGCTTTTCTTTACCAAACTCTTGAGTTTCTCTCTGACTCGTCCCCTCTTGTGGAGCCTGAAGCAGCTGACACACGGTTTCATTTCCTTATTCATACAGGTGATATAAAAGCATTTACAAACCACATTTATTTGCAGGTTACGTGTCATCAATATGACATTGATGTAAGGACAGAGAAAATCGTGGATTTATTCTCAGCTCAGAATATAATCTGTTTGTTCTACTTTATAAAACTGTGGACATTAAGGCAGCTGTCAGCTGCAGTGAAACATTTAGTGTACAGTACTGTAGTAACCGGTAATCTGTATGAAGCTTTAGACACATAAGACACTGATGAATGAACAATCATTTGTCATCCTAAATGATGGAACATTCCTGTCATAGTTAACATGTTGGAGAACATGATGAGGATGATTGTGTTGCAGCTGAAATGACTTTACATGATTCCAAATCTGGATTAAATGTAGTTAACAGGGAGATTTTCAGTATTAGTTGCACATAGTGTTTTGACCAAAGACTGTATGAAAAACCATTTGTTTGTTTTGACAGCATGTTGAAATGGTTACACGTTGAAATATACTCATTAAATGCTGTTGAGCACTTTTTTTTTTTTTTTTTTTTTTTTTGTATGTAAAATTGATGTCTAAAAATTTTGTCAGTTTAACGGTTTAGTGTGTACATTTTAGTGGCATCTAGTCGTAATTGCAACCAAAGACTAAGGCTGTGTCCGAAAAGTATAAAAAAAATCTCCTTTCCCAACCACCTTTCCTTGACTCTGATGGAAAATGTCAGGAGGTAAAGCAAAGATGTGAAGGAGAATTTGTAAGGACTTAAGGCCCATTTATACTCCTGCGTAGGGACTACGTGCGTAGCTACGCCGTAGGCTACACGCGTAGCCATGCATTTATACTTGTGCTTAGGTGTGTCCATCATTCTGCAATTACACCCCCAAACGCTAGCGCTACAGCGTCCGCTGTGTTGACTTTTGCCGGGCGAGCAGGCTAACTTCCTGTTTAGCACTCCGCCAACGGGAATGAGGGTAAAATTGTATACGTAAACACAGTGTTTCCCACAGAATGACAGAGTAACTGTGATGAGAGAGCGACCGACCAAGTGAGAGAAAGTGCTCAGCAAATATATGCACTGCGCGCAGCTCTGTGGTCGAATCCGATTTTATTATCGAAAATGTGGCGGTCAGCGTTGATGATGTGCAGGGATGTGATTTTTTTTTTCCAGATTTTAAACTTTGTGTGACCAGCAAAAAGCTTTCAACCGCAAACAATTCTACATCTTTACTTAATTAAATCAGCTAAAGCAGCGCAGCAACGTGAAACTCGGAAAAACTCCGCCCGCTGCTGCCACAGATGCTTGGACTCATCGGGATAGAGTGGCGTTATATCACCCAGTAATAAGTGGAGTAGCTAATATTACTTTTTAAGGAGTATATCCTGAGTAACTAGTAAGTAGCTGTATTATTTCTTGCCCAACACTGAGTTGACAATAAGGATCGGATAAATTGGGTATGTTTTGATTATTGCTTGTTAGAGGCTATGTCTAATGTTTACTTTAACGTCGGATTGATCACTCATGTAGCCTATATAGGCTACACTTTGCTGTATAAATGGTTGCTTTTTAAGTCGTCCTTATGTTAAAGGTTTTGGCACGTTATAAATGAATTTCTTGTGAATGGTTGTGACAGAGTTTATATGAGGCGTTTTCATAAGGCCGTGGGGTCGCTCTGCGCTCCTCATCAACAGGCAGGTAAACAAGCGCTCCGCGAGGTAACCATGGCAACGGCCTCTGTGTAGCCGGCGCAATCCCGTGCAACTGTCGCCATCGTTCTCGTCTCACGCACACGCCCGCCTGCTGTCAGACTTTTTCCCTACAGTTTATCAACAGACAGAGACTGATCAGCTGTTTGTTTCCTGACTAATAACTGTATCTTTAGGCTGCCAGGTCTTAAACAGGCGACAACCTTTGCTGCTGTCTCTTGTAAAATAATAAAAATAATCTATTAACTTCTACTGAACTAATTTGAAAGTTAGTGGTTATATTATTTAGTCATAGACTCAGTTATTTCATGTTGCACATTTAGTTGTTGAAGTTTGGGGGGAAAAAATGAACACAAAATAATAATTATAAATAATTATTATCGAGGTGGCGATGGAGCAGCGGATTAGACACTTGTCTTTGATTCCCACTGCAACACATCCACCAGATAAGTTATTGTCATGGGTTCTGCTTTACCATCCATATGTTATAATCGAGCCGCTGCCAGTTTTATCGGGGTGTGGCGGGTCCCAGCGTATTTTCCTGCTTTTTTGCCCTTTGCCAATCACATGCCTGAATGTGATCAATGCTGACTGCAGCTTGATCATTGCCCTTTATTAAGGCATCTGTGACTGAAGTAAAATTAATTAATGATATTGCTGAAGGCATTTTAGACTAATAACACAGCTGGCATGGGTCTCACTTGATCAACATCCTTTATCTGTCATGGTCGGTGAGTTATTTTTTTATTGTATAAAATTGGAATACAACACTTAATCTATACTATAGCTTATTTCAACAATCCGAAACATAAAATGGTGTTGAAACCGCATCAAATTACAGCAAAGCCAAAAGAAAGAAGGTAATTGAGTCTTATTCAAGAAGCATGTGCCTCTATATTGCAGGGATTTTGCTAAATATGGTCAGTGGATTTTATAATTTCAGTTTGAGAACGTACATCGCTTTAAATGTTGCTGCCACAAAGAATTATGGGACGGCATAAAGGAGATAAGAAAGGACGCATTGAGGCCCCTTTCCTTAGCTTTTAGAGAATTCGACCAGCTCTTATCATGGCTGCCACTGAAATCCTTCCGGTCACTTCACTCAGTTAGGAACCTTCCTAAGCAAAAAAGACCTTTCGGATGCAGCGTAAGTCTAGTGCCCCTCTCCCAAGCATGTAGGATAGCTACAATGGCTTACACAGGACAAAAGACGCCATCTGAGACAGCATCGTAGCAAAGCCAAAATACTGCATTGGAGAATAACATTACATGAAATTACAATCCAACTATATATTTTTCAACATTGACAAGGGAAACGTGTCACTTGTCTCTGAGTATGCCCATCTTCTAGCTAAAGCTGTCAAACAACAGGTTTCATTTGCATTGCTAGTAAGTAAGTAAGTGAACTTACCGGTCGAGCAGAAAACAGACAAGTTCTGCGTCGCTTTGACTCTGTTTTTGCTTCTTTGACAACAAAGATTCCCGCTCTGTCGGCTCGTGCTAAATAATACGTGGGTCCTCCGTTGGTCCAAATTTCACTTCACTTCTTACTTCTAATAAACCAAACTACTCAGACTGTAGACCATATTGACAGTATTACTACTTCTTGTTTGTAAGTATTTGCTGTAGTGCCGTAGAGCAGTTTTGGGCTACTGTAGAAAAATGGCGGTGCAACATGGCGACTTCCATGTAAGAGGATATAGAGAGAAATGGCTCATTCTAAGATAATAAAAAAATAATGGTTCATTATGTAAGGTCTTTATACACCACTGAAAACATAGTTATGGATATTATATTGCATTTATTTCAATAGATCCTCAGAAATATTACACACTGGACCTTTAGACTGAGAACCAATTTTCAACTGCAAATCACCCAAATAATTATTA